TGGTATTTCAAAAGTAGTTTTGTAGATAAATTGACTTGTGATTACAATGTAGATTTCAATCATTCCAATAAAGAGTTGGACCAAGTGATTCTGGAGCGGACTGTTGGTTGCAGGCTGCAATCGGCAAGTCAGTTGAATATGAAGGAGGAAAGAAAATATAAGTGTTTCACCAAAACATTATATATACGGGTATATAAGGTTCAATTTGTGAATATTTGAAAAATGTGTAAGAATGTTTCGTATTTTATTTCCTTTATTAAACTGAACGAAGGTTTGAAATTTATTTGAAATTGATTCGTGATGTTATAAAACTTATATGTATGAGTGCCATTATATGAATTTAACAATTATGAGACAAATAACAAATGATTTACCAGCGGTAAAATTTTAGCTGGAGAAGTTAACTTGCTACGGATAAATAGCAGAAAATGTAGAAATTTCGAGAAATCACACATAGCGATGTGTACGAAACAGAACCTGTTCAGGAAGAAATACACGACTTTATCAAAATTCCACTGAAAGAATTGTTATGAAAAATAATGACCATAACGCCGGAGTATTTTTTGTTGATTTACAAAGTCATTTAACAGTGTGCAAAGTTTGCTACAATTCCATTACGACCTTTCTTAAACTATTTATGTTAAATGTTTTGTTATTTTGTTATGTTATATTAAACATGTAATATCACTTTTCATTCAATGTGTGTGTCCCCCCTCCTGTTTCTTTAATAAAACATGAATTGAAATTTAGAGACACATGATAAATTATCATGATAATGATTATAGAAAGCCATTTAAAACAATGTACCAAATCTCTAAGGTTAGAATTTTATTGTGTGAACCATCAAATTTATGGTGGATTAATTGGTTTCAGTGACAGATTTCCTCCTACAATATTTTATAACAAGTTTAATTGTTTCAAATGAAGGATTTATGCCCATCTATCCAAACTCATTAAAACAAAAGTAAATAAGATGTAATAGTTATGTGCAATTCAGTATCCCTTTGCATTTTCATCCTTAAATTAAATAAAGTAATTAAGAACTTGTATCTGTCAAGACCTATTGTTATTGTTATTGTAAAATGAATGAGTATTCATTCGGTATAAATAAAACCAAATGAAGTGCAAATGTCAATCATTAAGCAACCCAACAAAAAGTAACTAAATAATAAGAACACACATTTCAAATATTAACAGAAGTATACACAATTAAATGTTTAGAAAAACCTCATTTAATTCCATTCCCATTGTTAATTCTAAACGTAGAATGAGAGGAAAATATTTATTTGTTTTCATGTATATGTTCACGAATACGTAGTAATCTAAAGAAAAGGGAAAACGTAAAACGTTGTGCACGATGTTCCTACAACACGATGTTACACCAAAAATGGGACGTCAAAGAGTGTTTTCTGAAATTTTGACGTCGATTAATTAAATTTGTTAGTTTCATTCGTTTTTTTTTTTATATGTTATGGGTTGATTCTGTCTCTGTTATTTTTGTGATATATTTTTACCATGAAATACCTCAAGTTGTAGAAATCGATTAACAATTTTTACCCTTAATTCCCCTTAAAATGCTGTATTGTCGTAAATAATGTAGGAAGGCAAAATGGGACGGGATTATTAAATATACGGTTTTCCATAAATAAATTTAAACATAATTTTAGAAGCACAAAACTTTAATCACAGGCTGCTAAAATTTTATGGTGCATATCATATGTCATTGTAAATTTTCCATATCTTGATTCAACACCAATACAAATATATCCGACACTCTGCAAGTAAATCATTTTTTGTTTACCCTTTGATTAATTGGAAATGAATTGTACTTTCCTTGACACACAATTTGTCGAAATACAGCCCTTCAATTATTGAACCCCAGCTTCAAAATTATTTCCCCAGTCATCTATAGTTTCTTGCTTAAGTTTTCTAACGTCTTATGTACTTTTTAAATTTTAGAAATCTTCTCCTGGATCGTCCGTAAAAACGGGTAATACAATCCCGGGTTGTATTATTTCAATGAAACTGTTTTCGTCGATGTTTGCAATTAGTCTTTCAGTTACCCCTGTTTCATGCACAAGTTTATTTTGACGAAAAGGTCCGGCTTCGCTAGTACATGAATTAGTTTCAGTACGACAGTTATAACATGAGTAGCAGGACAAGTCGCGAACTAAAACTTTTCGAATACTTGTACTTTTAATTTGGTGAATGTACCTTACTGAAGGGGCGGCTTTAAATGATCCATATCTATTTCAGGGTACTTCCGCAACATAACGAAAAATTCACCTATAACATACAGAGGACTGTCTTGATGTCTCTTAATTGTCTTTGCAAAAGTTGTACATATCATTCGCATTCTGAATCAAACATTTGCCTCTAGCAACAATAAATCACTAAAAGCTAAAAATGGTTATAAAATATCAAAATTTAATCTGTGTCGAATCTATGTTCCGAGTTTGTCAATATGCACTATTCTTTTTTCGACAGCCTTCAATATCTTTTTCCAAATTTCATCACACGATTTGTTTTTATTATCAGGAACATTTTATTGAAACAAATTTAGCACATGCAACGTTGGAAATAAGCGTTTTTCGGATTTTGCGACGTTTTCACCCGTTTGGACAAAATGACTACCGTTTTGTAATGTTTCGTAGCATTTTATTCCTTTCAGACCCAAACATGTAGTTAATAAAAAACAAATCTAGGCATTGTGTACTCTTCGTGTATCTAACTTTTCTTTTTATAAATTATAAATAACTTATTGAAATATCAGGTAAAAAACCCGCATTAATTGTTTTGACAAACGAAATATCAACTTGGACAAAATGACTACCGCTTGAAAAACGACTGTAAAGGGAAGATTTTATAGAATCTACACTATTTGAACTCACGAACAATGAGGCAAGTATTTGTACTATTGGTAGATGTTATTATTATCTTATCATTTTTAGACATTTTCTGCTATATCTACTTATAAAATACACTTTCAGTAGTTGAGTCAACGAAAAACGTCGTTGGACATTTTTCTTATTCCAGCTTAATATGCAGCCGCCGAGTCAATGAAATTTGACAAAACAATGACTTAATTGTCACAAAGAACCGACACATCTCGTTGTTCTCGCCAAGTTTCAGGAAGATCAAAGAATAAGAAATAGGATCACTATACATAAGAGTTAAAACAGTTGTTCAAAAATGTAACGTTAAACATCCGTATTTTCACATATAGCTTTGTTGTTTTAATCCTCAAATATACTAGATATTACTAACGTTTTTAAAGCATTTCATAATTGTGACTTTCAAATTATGTCTATTTTTGTTATTGTAATAAATAAACCATTTTCGGCCACTTGCCCTCTTCTGTTTCCGTATGTTTTTTCTTTATTATTTTGTGATATTTATTTATAAAAAATATGTTTATTTAGAAAAATTACGAATTTTGAATGACTACTACAAAAAGTGAGATATCGAAAAAAGAAAGCACTATCAAGCCCATTCAAATGCTTAATCAAATGATCACTTTAAAATTATTGCCAATACTACTTCAAGTGATCAGAATATATTGTACATGTCAATAAATGTCTGAAGGTATATAAATTGTCACTCTGATTAATTGGGAAATAATTAATTATAAACATTAAGGATGAGTGTTGGTCTATTTTTCAAGATTTTAGATATGCATGAGTCAACTTCCACATACAGTTGAGATCGTTTTGTGGTAATAAGAATTGTGTCTAAGTTTCATAACATTTGGTTAAGGCAAACTGAAGTTGGAGAACGGAAACGAAAATTTCATCAATTTTTCCGTTTTTGTCAATTTCACAATTTCAGTTTTTTAACCGTAACTTCAGATTTTCGAACATAAACCACTCTGGAGATTTTCCTAAACGACGCGCTAATGTCTCCTCTACAACACCTATATAGTCGTTGCCCGTCACAATATCTTTAAAATGGTCCAAATTTTTCTTTTAGTGCCCTACCCCACTAATCTCATTTTGTCAATTTCACAAAAAAAATTTCAGTTTTTTAATCGTAACTTCAGATTTTCGAACATAAACCAGTCTGGAGATTTTTCATAAACGATGCGCCAATGTCTCTTCTACAACACCTATATAGTTGTTGCCCGTCACAATCTCTTGAAATTGGTCCAAATTTTTCTTTTAGTGCCCTACCCCCCTAATCTCATATTGTCAATTTCACAATTTTAGTTTTTTAACCGTAACTTCAGATTTTTGAACATAAATCACTCTGGAGATTTTCCTAAAGGATGCGCCAATATCTCCTCTACAACACCTATATAGTCGTTGCCCGTCACAATCTCTTGAAATTGGTCCAAAATTAACTTAAATTGGCCTACCCCCCTAATCTCATTTTGTTCATTTCACATTTTCAGTTTTTTAACCGTAACTTCAGATTTTCGAACATAAACCACTCTGGAGATTTTCTTAAACGATGCGCCAATGTCTCCTCTACAACACCTATATAGTCGTTGCCCGTCACAATATCTTTAAAATGGTCCAAATTTTTCTTTTAGTGCCCTACCCCACTAATCTCATTTTGTCAATTTCACAAAAAAAATTTCAGTTTTTTAACCGTAACTTCAGATTTTCGAACATAAACCACTCTGGAGATTTTTCATAAACGATGCGCCAATGTCTCTTCTACAACACCTATATAGTTGTTGCCCGTCACAATCTCTTGAAATTGGTCCAAATTTTTCTTTTAGTGCCCTACCCCCCTAATCTCATATTGTCAATTTCACAATTTTAGTTTTTTAACCGTAACTTCAGATTTTTGAACATAAATCACTCTGGAGATTTTCCTAAAGGATGCGCCAATATCTCCTCTACAACACCTATATAGTCGTTGCCCGTCACAATCTCTTGAAATTGGTCCAAAATTAACTTAAATTGGCCTACCCCCCTAATCTCATTTTGTTCATTTCACAATTTCAGTTCTTTAACCGTAACTTCAGATTTTCGAACATAAATCACTCTGAAGATTTTCTTAAACTATGCGCCAATGTCTCCTCTACAACACCTATATAGTCGTTGCCCGTCACAATCTCTTTAAAATGGTCCAAATTTTTCTTTTAGTGCCCTACCCCCTAATCTCATTTTGTCAATTTCACAAAAACATTTTCAGTTTTTCAACCGTTACTTCAGATTTTCGAACATAAACCACTCTAGAGATTTTCTTAAACGATGCGCCAATGTCTCCTCTACAACACCTATTTAGTTGTTGACCGTCAAAATCTCTTGAAAATGGTCCAATTTTTTTCTTTTTGTGCCCTACCCCCCCCTAATCTCATTTTGTCAATTTCACAATAAAATTTTCAGTTTTTTAACCGTAACTTCAGATTTTCGAACATAAACCATTCTAGAGATTTTCTTAAACGATGCGCCATTTTCTCCCCTACAACACCTATATAGTCGTTGCCCGTCACAATCTTTTTAAAATGTTCCAAATTTTTCTTTTAGTGCCCTACCCCCCTAATCTCATTTTGTCAATTTCACAATAAAATTTTCAGTTTTTTAACCGTAACTTCAGATTTTCGAACATAAACCACTCTGGAGATTTTCTTAAACTATGCGCCAATGTCTCTTCTACAACACCTTTATAGTCGTTGCCCGTCAACATCTCTTTAAAATGGTCCAAAGTTTTCTTTAAGTGCCCTACCCCCCTAATCTCATTTTGTCAATTTCACAATAAAAGTTTCAGTTTTTTAACCGTAACTTCAGATTTTCGAACATAAACCACTATGGAGATTTTTCTAAACGATGCGCCAATATCTCCTCTACAACAACTATACAGTCCTTGCCCGTCACAATCTCTTTAAAATTGTCCAATTTTTTCTGTTAGTGCCCTACCCCCCTAATCTCATCTTGTCAATTTCACACTAAAATTTTCAGTTTTTTAACCGTAACTTCAGATTTTCGAACATAATCCACTATGGAGATTTTCTTAAACGATGTGCAAATGTCTCTTCTACAACAACTTTTTAGTCGTTGCCCGTCACAATCTCTTGAAATTGGTCCACAAATTAACTTAAATTGCCCTACCCCCCTAATCTCATTTTGTCAATTTCACAATAAAATTTTCTGTTCTTTAACCGTAACTTCAGATTTTCGAAGATAAATCACTCTGAAGATTTTCTTAAACTATGCGTCAATGTCTCCCCTACAACACCTATATAGTCGTTGCCCGTCACAATCTCTTTAAAATGGTCCAATTTTTTCTTTTAGTGCCCTACCCCCCTAATCTCATTTTGTCAATTTCACAATAAAATTTTCAGTTTTTAACCGTAACTTCAGATTTTCGAACATAAACCACTCTGGAGATTTTCTTAAACGATGCGCCAATATCTCCTCTACAACACCTATATAGTTGTTGCCCGTCACAATCTCTTGAAAATGGTCCAAATTTTTCTTTTAGTGCCCTACCCCCTAATCTCATTTTGTCAATTTCACAATAAAATTTTCAGTTTTTTAACCGTTACTTCAGATTTTCGAACATAAACCACTCTGGAGATTTTCTTAAACGATGCGCCAATGTCTCCTCTTCAACACCTATATAGTTGTTGACCGTCAAAATCTCTTGAAAATGGTTCAATTTTTTTCTTTATGTGCCCTACCCCCCTAATCTCATTTTGTCAATTTCACAATAAAATTTTCAGTTTTTTAACCGTAACTTCAGGTTTTCGAACATAAACCATTCTAGAGATTTTCTTAAACGATGCGCCATGTTCTCCCCTACAACACCTATATAGTCGTTGCCCGTCACAATCTTTTTAAAATGTTCCAAATTTTTCTTTTAGTGCCCTACCCCCTAATCTCATTTTGTCAATTTCACAATAAAATTTTCAGTTTTTTAACCGTAACTTCAGATTTTCGAAAATAAACCACTCTGGAGATTTTTCTAAACGATGCGCCAATGTCTCCTCTACAACACCTATATAGTCGTTACCCGTCACAATCTCTTGAAATTGGTCCAAATTTTTCTTTTGGTGCCCTACCCCCCTAATCTCATTTTGTTAATTTCACAATTTCAGTTTTTTAACCGTAACTTCAGATTTTCGAAGATAAATCACTCTGAAGATTTTCTTAAACTAAGCGCCAATGTCTCCTCTACAACACCTATATAGTCGTTACCCGTCACAATCTCTTTAAAATGGTCCAAATTTTTCTTTTAGTGCACTACCCCCTAATCTCATTTTGTCAATTTCACAATAACATTTTCAGTTTTTTAACCGTAACTTCAGATTTTCGAACATAAACCACTCTAGACATTTTCCTAAACGATGCGCCAATGTCTCCTCTACAACACCTATATAGTCGTTGCCCGTCACAATCTCTTGAAATTGGTACAAAATTAACTTAAATTGGCCTACCCCCTAATCTCATTTTGTCAATTTCACAATTTCAGTTTTTTAACAATAACTTCAGATTTTCGAACATAAACGACTCTGGAGATTTTCTTAAACGATGCGCCAATGTCTCTTCTACAACACCTTTATAGTCGTTGCCCGTCAACATCTCTTTAAAATGGTCCAAATTTTTCTTTAAGTGCCCTACCCCCTTATCTCATTTTGTCAATTTTACAATAACATTTTCAGTTTTTTAACCGTAACTTCAGATTTTCGAACATAAACCACTCTGGAGATTTTCTTAAACGATGCACCAATGTCTCCTCTACAACACCTATATAGTCGTTGCCCGTCACAATCTCTTTAAAATGGTCCAAATTTTTCTTTTAGTGCCCTACCCCCCTAATCTCATTTTGTCAATTTCACAATAAAATTTTCAGTTTTTTAACCGTAACTTCAGATTTTCGAACATAAACCACTCTGGACATTTTCCTAAACGATGCGCCAATGTCTCCTCTACAACACCTATATAGTCGTTGCCCGTCACAATCTCTTGAAATTGGTACAAAATTTACTTAAATTGGCCTACCCCCTTATCTCATTTTGTCAATTTCACAATTTCAGTTTTTTAACCGTAACTTCAGATTTTCGAACATAAACAACTCTGGAGATTTTCTTAAACGATGCGCCAATGTCTCTTCTACAACACCTTTATAGTCGTTGCCCGTCAACATCTCTTTAAAATGGTCCAAATTTTTCTTTTAGTGCCCTACCCCCCTAATCTCATTTTGTCAATTTCACAATAAAATTTTCAGTTTTTTAACCGTAACTTCAGATTTTCGAACATTAACCACTTTGGAGATTTTCTTGAACGATGTGCCATTGTCTCCTCTACAACACTTATAAAGTCGTTGCCCGTCATAATTTCTTGAAATTAGTCCAAAATTAACTCAAATTGCCCTACCCCCTAATATCATTTTGTCAATTTCAGAATCAAAGTTTCAGTTTTTTAACCGTAACTTCAGATTTTCGAACATAAACCACTCCGGGGATTTTTCTAAACGATGTGCCAATGTCTCCTCTACAACACCTATACAGTCCTTGCCCGTCACAATCTCTTTAAAATGGTCCAAATTTTCCTTTTAGTGCCCTACCCCCCTTATCTCATTTTGTCAATTTCACAATAAAATTTTCAGTTTTTTAACCGTAACTTCAGATTTTCGAACATAAACCACTTTGAAGATTTTCTTAAACGATGTGCCATTGTCTCCTCTACAACACTTATAAAGTTGTTGCCCGTCATAATTTCTTGAAATTGGTCCAAAATTAACTTAAATTGCCCTACCCCCTAATATCATTTTGTCAATTTCAGAATCAAAGTTTCAGTTTTTTAACCGTAACTTCAGATTTTCGAACATAAACCACTCTGGAGATTTTTCTAAACGATGCGCCAATATCTCCTCTACAACACCTATACAGTCCTTGCCCGTCACAATCTCTTTAAAATTGTCCAATTTTTTATGTTAGTGCCCTACCCCCCTAATCTCATTTTATCAATTTCACAATAAAATTTTCAGTTTTTTAACCGTAACTTCAGATTTTCGAACATAATCCACTATGGAGATTTTCTTAAACGATGTGCAAATGTCTCTTCTACAACGACTTTATAGTCGTTGCCCGTCACAATCTCTTGAAATTGGTCCAAAATTAACTTAAATTGCCCTACCCCCCTAATCTCATTTTGTCAATTTCACAATAAAATTTTCAGTTCTTTAACCGTAACTTCAGATTTTCGAAGATAAATCACTCTGAAGATTTTCTTAAACTATGCGTCAATGTCTCCTCTACAACACATATATAGTCGTTGCCCGTCACAATCTCTTTAAAATGGCCCAAATTTTTCTTTTAGTGCCCTACCCCCCTAATCTCATTTTGTCAATTTCACAATAAAATTTTCAGTTTTTTAACCGTTACTTCAGATTTTCGAACATAAACCACTCTGGAGATTTTCTTAAACGATGCGCCAATGTCTCCTCTTCAACACCTATATAGTTGTTGACCGTCAAAATCTCTTGAAAATGGTTCAATTTTTTTCTTTATGTGCCCTACCCCCCTAATCTCATTTTGTCAATTTCACAATAAAATTTTCAGTTTTTTAACCGTAACTTCAGGTTTTCGAACATAAACCATTCTAGAGATTTTCTTAAACGATGCGCCATTTTCTCCCCTACAACACCTATATAGTCGTTGCCCGTCACAATCTTTTTAAAATGTTCCAAATTTTTCTTTTAGTGCCCTACCCCCCTAATCTCATTTTGTCAATTTCACAATAAAATTTTCAGTTTTTTAACCGTAACTTCAGATTTCGAACATAAACCACTCTGGACATTTTCCTAAACGATGCGCCAATGTCTCCTCTACAACACCTATATAGTCGTTGCCCGTCACAATCTCTTGAAATTTGTACAAAATTAACTTAAATTGGCCTACCCCCTAATCTCATTTTGTCAATTTCACAATTTCAGTTTTTTAACAATAACTTCAGATTTTCGAACATAAACGACTCTGGAGATTTTCTTAAACGATGCGCCAATGTCTCTTCTACAACACCTTTATAGTCGTTGCCCGTCAACATCTCTTTAAAATGGTCCAAATTTTTCTTATAGTGCCCTACCCCCCTAATCTCATTTTGGCAATTTCACAATAACATTTTCAGTTTTTTAACCGTTACTTCAGTTTTTCGAACATAAACCACTCTGGAGATTTTCTTAAACGATGCGCCAATGTCTCCTCTACAACACCTATATAGTCGTTGCCCGTCACAATCTCTTGAAATTGGTACAAAATTAACTTAAATTGGCCTACCCCCTTATCTCATTTTGTCAATTTCACAATTACAGTTTTTTAACCGTAACTTCAGATTTTCGAACATAAACCACTCTGGAGATTTTCTTAAACGATGCGCCAATGTCTCTTCTACAACACCTTTATAGTCGTTGCCCGTCAACATCTCTTTAAAATGGTCCAAATTTTTCTTTTAGTGCCCTACCCCCCTAATCTCATTTTGTCAATTTCACAATAAAATTTTCAGTTTTTTAACCGTAACTTCAGATTTTCGAACATTAACCACTTTGGAGATTTTCTTAAACGATGTGCCATTGTCTCCTCTACAACACTTATAAAGTCGTTGCCCGTCATAATTTCTTGAAATTGGTCCAAAATTAACTTAAATTGCCCTACCCCCTAATATCATTTTGTCAATTTCAGAATCAAAGTTTCAGTTTTTTAACCGTAACTTCAGATTTTCGAACATAAACCACTCCGGGGATTTTTCTAAACGATGCGCCAATGTCTCCTCTACAACACCTATACAGTCCTTGCCCGTCACAATCTCTTTAAAATGGTCCAAATTTTTCTTTTAGTGCCCTACCCCCCTAATCTCATTTTGTCAATTTCACAATAAAATTTTCAGTTTTTTAACCGTAACTTCAGATTTTCGAACATAAACCACTCTGGAGATTTTCCTAAACGATGCGCCAATGTCTCCTCTACAACACCTATATAGTCGTTGCCCGTCACAATCTCTTATAATTGGTACAAAATTAACTTAAATTGGCCTACCCCCTAATCTCATTTTGTCAATTTCACAATTTCAGTTTTTTAACCGTAACTTCAGATTTTCGAACATAAACCACTCTGGAGAATTTCTTAAACGATGCGCCAATGTCTCTTCTACAACACCTTTATAGTCGTTGCCCGTCAACATCTCTTTAAAATGGTCCAAATTTTTCTTTTAGTGCCCTACCCCCCTAATCTCATTTTGTCAATTTCACAATAAAATTTTCAGTTTTTTAACCGTAACTTCAGATTTTCGAACATAAACCACTTTGAAGATTTTCTTAAACGATGTGCCATTGTCTCCTCTACAACACTTATAAAGTCGTTGTCCGTCATAATTTCTTGAAATTGGTCCAAAATTAACTTAAATTGCCCTACCCCCTAATATCATTTTGTCAATTTCAGAATCAAAGTTTCAGTTTTTTAACCGTAACTTCAGATTTTCGAACATAAACCACTCTGGAGATTTTCTTAAACGATGCGCCAATGTCTCCTCTACAACACCTATATAGTCGTTGCCCGTCACAATCTCTTTAAAATGGTCCAAATTTTTCTTTTAGTGCCCTACCCCCCTAATCTCATTTTGTCAATTTCACAATACAATTTTCAGTTTTTTAACCGTAACTTCAGATTTTCGAACATAAACCACTCTGGAGATTTTCTTAAACGATGCGCCAATGTCTCTTCTACAACACCTTTATAGTCGTTGCCCGTCAACATCTCTTTAAAATGGTCCAAATTTTTCTTTTAGTGCCCTACCCCCCTAATCTCATTTTGTCAATTTCACAATAAAAGTTTCAGTTTTTTAACCGTAACTTCAGATTTTCGAACATAAACGACTCTGGAGATTTTCTTAAACGATGCGCCAATGTCTCTTCTACAACACCTTTATAGTCGTTGCCCGTCAACATCTCTTTAAAATGGTCCAAATTTTTCTTTTAGTGCCCTACCCCCCTAATCTCATTTTGTCAATTTCACAATAACATTTTCAGTTTTTTAACCGTAACTTCAGATTTTCGAACATAAACCACTCTGGAGATTTTCTTAAACGATGCGCCAATGTCTCCTCTACAACACCTATATAGTCGTTGCCCGTCACAATCTCTTTAAAATGGTCCAAATTTTTCTTTTAGTGCCCTACCCCCCTAATCTCATTTTGTCAATTTCACAATACAATTTTCAGTTTTTTAACCGTAACTTCAGATTTTCGAACATAAACCACTCTGGAGATTTTCTTAAACGATGCGCCAATGTCTCTTCTACAACACCTTTATAGTCGTTGCCCGTCAACATCTCTTTAAAATGGTCCAAATTTTTCTTTTAGTGCCCTACCCCCCTAATCTCATTTTGTCAATTTCACAATAAAAGTTTCAGTTTTTTAACCGTAACTTCAGATTTTCGAACATAAACGACTCTGGAGATTTTCTTAAACGATGCGCCAATGTCTCTTCTACAACACCTTTATAGTCGTTGCCCGTCAACATCTCTTTAAAATGGTCCAAATTTTTCTTTTAGTGCCCTACCCCCCTAATCTCATTTTGTCAATTTCACAATAAAATTTTCAGTTTTTTAACCGTAACTTCAGATTTTCGAACATAAACCACTTTGGAGATTTTCTTAAGCGATGTGCCATTGTCTCCTCTACAACACTTATAAAGCCGTTGCCCGTCATAATTTCTTGAAATTGGTCCAAAATTAACTTAAATTGCCCTACCCCCTAATATCATTTTGTCAATTTCAGAATCAAAGTTTCAGTTTTTTAACCGTAACTTCAGATTTTCGAACATAAACCACTCTGGAGATTTTTCTAAACGATGCACCAATGTCTCCTATACAACACCTATACAGTCCTTGCCCGTCACAATTTCTTTAAAATGGTCCAAATTTTTCTTTAAGTGCCCTACCCCCCTAATCTCATTTTATCAATTTCACAATAAAATTTTCAGTTTTTTAACCGTAACTTCAGATTTTCGAACATAAACCACTATGGAGATTTTCTTAAACGATGCGCAAATGTCTCCTCTACAACATCTATGTCGTCGTTGCCCGTCACAATCTCTTGAAATTGGTCCAAAATTAACTTAAATTGCCCTACCCCCCTAATCTCATTTTGTCAATTTCACAATAAAATTTTCAGTTCTTTAACCGTAACTTCAGATTTTCGAAGATAAATCACTCTGAAGATTTTCTTAAACTATGCGTCAATGTCTCCTCTACAACACCTATATAGTCGTTGCCCGTCA